TTTTCATTCCTGATTAGAAATGGAAGATGATCAAGTAGCTGTCCTATAAATGACAAAAAAAGGGAGCATTAGACTACAAACTGAAGTTGAGGTCACACTGAATAAGTCACAACTTTTGGCATTTTAAAGTTTTATGCCAGAGTGTTAGGGCAGAACAACACTCTTATTCAAAGGAGAACACAAAATTTTAATTACTTTCACATATAGATATTAAATTTGAAGAATCCTACAAACATGCAGCTTGTGCCACACTCTTCCTAGAGAATAAGAAGTTTTTGGACAGAATGAGAGAAGAATAATGTCTTATTTCCTGTAAAATAATGTTTGCTTTGGGAATTAAATATTGAGCTAATCATATGACCACTATCTCCTTATTGAATGCACATAGGGAACCTCTGACTGACAAAATTGAATTGTGAGCTGCCCAGAGTTGTTTGTTGAGATGTGCGGCTATAGAAATCAAATCAAATAAATAAATAAAAAAACAAATAGCAAAGAACTCAGGCAATGCCCCAAGAAGAAGTAATAGTCACCAAAAGTATCATTTTAAATGATATAATCTACTGGGAGAGAAGGGTACAAATGGCAGCTCATGATGGCTTTGAGAACCATCTACGGCGCCACACAGGAAGTGGTGTATGGGAGAAAGATTTCATAGAGATGCCCCTCAAAAGAATCTAATATGAGACAGTTCCATTCTAGCCAGGACTGGGGACAATCCAATTGCTTGCCTGTGTAGCTTTAGTTTAAGGTCCATGTGAAATAGCTCTATATAGACAAACTTTGTACTATACCTTTATTCAATTGTTTTGTAAATCTGATTTGTGGATTGCCTCCTAGCAGAAAAGGTTTGTTGACATGACAGAGTTATGACCACTATGTGATCTGTACATCTCCAGATACAAGGCAGTCAAGTAAATCCAAGCTGGATCTGGGCATAAGACTGGACTTTCTGAGACCATATCAGGAATGACTGCAGGGAAGATTGGATTGCTTATGAATCTCTCAAAACCATGGAAAAGACTGAAGGTCAGAACCCAAATTAGTTTTAAAGACGGATAGTCTGAAACTCCATTTTTCTGAGATTTGGGAACAGAAGGATATCCTGCAACTGATCTTTTGAATAATCATCTGCTGATATAAAGCAGGGAATCACTGCAAGAGCAAGAGTGTAATCTGGTTCAAGACAGGATGTTGATGTACAAAAATGACGAGGTTCGAATTCTGTCCTCAGTTCATGAAGCATCCACTTTTCCCCGTCTTTACAATCAAACTAGAGGCTGAATCTTTGGAATTCACTCTGACAACAGAGATATGATGTCTTGTTTTGCATCTATCTATGTACCTAAAGGCTTCAATGACTGAATTAGATGAAATAAACTTTTCTTGTAATTCATTGGGAATTCACATGTCTAATGGCAAGTCAACATCTGGTTTTGCCTTGGGAAAAGGGTAAGTGTGTGCAAATATGGCTATACAGAGATGCCTTTTAATCTCAGATGCTCTAATACTGTCATCATTATCATGAAAAAATACTAAGAGCTGAGACCAGCACAAAGGATAATTACCACAACTGAAAATGTTGAGGCATGAAAACCACCAATGTATTACAGCAGCTGGTACATGCAAATAGGTTTCTGGCAGATCTGATGAGTGTAGAGGCTCTTTGATTGATTGTAATGTTTCTATCATCATCCTTGGTATTTCACAAACGGTTGACGTATTTCAATCTAAATAAACCTGCTATTCCTATCGTTTTTTTTAAAAAAAACAACCACAAAATATATTGAGTTAGAGCTTTGAAAATAAATCTGGGAATGATTCTATTGCTTAAATGTGAATTAGAGGATTTATGGCTTGTTTGATGAATTTTTGACTTATAACTAACCATGAGAATGGGGAAGGGAAATATCACAATTGAGATAGGCTGGTAAATATTATGTAGTTTCCTGTACTAATTATAATTATTATTGATTGATCTGGTTTTGAGGGTAAAGTAGTCTTCCTCCCATTGAAGAACCTACAAAGACCAAGTTGCTGGCAACTGGCTCTGGTCGATTGAGTAAAATAGATTTGAATTGTACCAAAGTGATCTTAGGATTTAGGATACATCTTTTTTTTCTTAGACCATGTAAGCTTGGAAAGTCTACAGGCTCTTTGTGGTGAGGAGTTAGATCCTTGTTGGGATGATTTTTTTTTCTTTGCTTGAGCTCTGTTAAAGTATTTTAAAATGAGACTACGCTAGGATCAGGTGGTTCTTTATCTCTGAACCTTAAGCGGACATATCATGAGGTTAGAATACTGAAGACATTTGAGCTGCTTGGAAAATATAGGATTCTTTGACCATGACATTTTTTTAGGTTTGGGAAGAAGAGAAGAAAATTACAAGTGTCAGAGAGGGAATCAAATCCATTTTTTCTGGCTCTGGAGGGAACTGAGAATTAAATCTACTTTGAATTTCAAACAAACAAAAAAGAATTTCTTTAATTTAAGTGCTGGATTGAAAAGGCCCATTAATTATTTCCGCAGGGGGGAAACGAATGACTGAAAAAGGACTAGATTTTTGGAAACCATACAAAATCACGAACACATGCTCCCTGAGAAGCAACAGAATAACAGTAGCAGTTATTATCATCAACAGTATGAATAAACCCTGTTTTTGCCCTCTGGTTGTCAAAAGACAAACAGCAGCCATAATCATTTTCAATTCTATTCGGGCATAAAATAGTAGCAGATGGGAAATTAGCGGTGTCTGCCTTTGTGAAACTGAGGATTTTGTTCTCTTTATTACTCTGGTGCCCCTCTTCAGACCCTCTCACTTTGGACATTGATGAACTGGTCTGTCTGAATCTTCTACTCCTATGGAGGCATGATCTCTGCAGGTACTAACAATGCCCTCAGGGAAAATGGTATTTTCTTTAAAGAAGCCACCCCAGCAGCTTTCCTCAACTTCCTCAGTGTGATCCACAGGAGCTGCTGAGACATTGCTTTGATTTTTGCCCCCAAAGAAAAAGTTTTTCAGTGGAGGCAGAAAGGGAGCCTTGAGCCTTAATGAATCACATTACATTGATAAGAACTGTTTTCTAGTTGTTTTCCTTAGAATTCCTGCAAGGAAGAAAAAAAAAATAAAGAGACAGGAAATGATTAAATACTGAAAAGGAGGAAGGAAGGGGGAGAGAGACAGAGACAGCTGCAGAAAGAATAAAACAAAAAAATGATCAAGAATTACAAGAATCACCATTGAAAGCATCGAGGAATCTGGTGAGCAAACATCTTTGAAAGGATGACCCATCAGGGCACGAGTTGCCTAGTTTGTCTTTAAAAAGACAAATGTGACATTAGATTGCTTTTGTTACTAAATCATTTTTTATTCTGGGTTCCTTGTTTAAGCATGGATAAAAATGTACATCAAAACAATGATGCATGAAGCCTACCAAATTATTAAATCCCATCCATATATTCTATTTTTTGTTGTTTTGAGTTCATCTTATTTATTCCCTTCATAACTGGACAAATATCTAGCAATTAAAGTGCCCAACAATTTATATTTATTGGGCAACTGATTCATATTTATGACGGTTGCAGTGTCCTGGGGACATGTGAACAGCTTCTGATGAGCAAAGTCAATGGGGAAGCCAGACTCACTTAACAACTGTGTTACTAACTTAACAACTCCAATTATTCACTTAACAGCTCTGGCAGGAAAGGTTGTAAAATGGAGCAAAATTCACTTAACAAATCTCTCACTTAGCAACATAAATTTTGGGCTCAATTGTGGTATTAAGTTGAGGACTACCTCTACTGGTATTGATCTATTGCATATGTCTACGATATTGATAGAATGCAATATTTTGTACCAATGCATTGAAATTGCCAACTATTGTTACATTTCTATCCCTCTTAAATATAACAGGAGCATTTACACATTTACAAGAAATCTTACAACTAAAATACAAAACATTTGGCAGAATAGAAACTTGACCAGTAGTTGAGCTTACAATTAGCATGCAGATCATTTATTGCAGATCATTTTATCTGACCCACATGTCATTTTTAATACTGATTCAAATTATGTCCTAAACAAGACCAAACCAGGCAGAATGTTTGTTGTATATAAGTGATTATTGTACAGTTTTAGATACTGCAGATACTGCAATGGAAAGATGGGAGAACAGCAGCAGATTGAGGACAGATATCCTAACTCTTTCTTCTCTGCTATAATCCTAACTAAATCCCACCTCCAGTGAAGCTGTTTCAGCCCTAGAAGGAGAATTTCCATTATTGCCTATGAAAGGCTAATCACAGCAAAGAGCTATTTGTCATAGCAATAGCAAGAAGGAAAGACTTCAGGTGCACCAGATTCCTGACTCATGCAGCCAATCCTAGTGGAATAGCAATTTAAGAAGGGAGATAATTTTTTAAATCTTCCTGTGTTAATAGTTTTTACATAATTTATATCATGCCTGGTTTGGATTTTGAGAGATAATCAGCTTACTTTCCTACAATAGCCTAGATAATGACCTCAAACAAATTGTAATTTATTACCTTGTGAATGGAATTTATCATACTTGATTCCAATTCAACTAACCACTTTTCCACTTGGCCTCTCGCTTTAGCTGTTGATATTGTGTTGATAAGTTCCACAACTTCCCCTTCACTGCTTTTCATGTGTGTAATATCCAGGACTTCGGTAAACTCAACACTAGCAATTCCTTCAAAACACTTTTTCAAGTGAGGCTTTACTCTGAAGAAATCAAAGAGAGGATTAAGAAATAAACTTGGAGCCATGCAAGCTCTAACTTCTTTCAACAAAACACACTTTATGCCCAGAATGTTTGGATTAATAATCCTATCCGTATGAGTCAGAGAAGTAAGCTCTAACCACAGGCAGGATGTTTTTTATTTAGATATTTCATTCTCAAACAAACTGACAAAAAACACCCACAGTATATTAAAAACTGTATTTTTGTTTAAAATCCTCTCCAAAGCATATTAACATGGGAAAAGGGTTCTGCTAAGAAACCATCTTACTAGATTTCCAACAAGGATGTTGAATGCACCAGGTATGATATGCTACTTCATTGTATCTTGATGACTAAGCCATATAATAAGAATAGACAATCTTTTTGTTGAGAGGGAGCATGCTTTTACTTTTAAAAATATTTTAGAGAGCATGGCCAGAAAACAATGGAATACCTAGGGCTGAAAATATTGCTCTTCTTGCATTTTAGAGCGCTTTAAGGCCAAATCAGATGTATTATTGTGAGGTCCTTGGTGCTTTCTGAGAATGGTTGTTTTCTTGCAGACATTTTATTACCAAACTACCAGTGCTAGTAAGGAATGAGGTTTACTCTCAATTTATATAGCAATGGCTTTTCCTGTCCATGCTGGTGGGAGTGATCTTGGTGATCCTGCTCTCACCCAAATGAGCAGATATTAACACCAAGATTAACACTAGACCAGACATGTCAAACTCATGACGTCACATGACGCCACACAACGTATCGGGACGGTTTTGCCATTGCTGGCAATGAGGTGGCCACGGCTTCTGGATGACATGTCCTGCCCGCGGGCCGGAAGTTTGACACCCCTACACTAGACCAATAATCAAGAAGTAAACACTACTTCAAGGAACTAACTTAGCCAAATAAGCTAACAGTAAACAACTATCAAGGACCACCAAGACATTACTATATAAAATGAGAGCAAACCGCCTTCTAGCACTGATGATGTTACCTAGTTTGGTAATGAAATATCTGTGAGAAAACAACCAAACTCAGAGAGCATCAAGGACCGCACAGTTCAACCCTGAGCTATAAATATTCTCTTTAAATGTATTATGCCTAATAGAGAAGAACAATGAATTGTCTTAGCAGGAGAGAACTGGGTTAAAATGGCAAACACTAAAGTAAAATATTGTAATAGAAGACCCCAACAAAGATTGAAATACTCAAGATGGGAAATGATTCAAGCTTGGATCAAAATTGTTGACAATGAGATTAAGTTCACATGTTTGCAGCATTATAAAAAAAAGAAGCAACATGACCTCTTGCCTACAGATTCATTATGAGGAATAAGTTGATGGAAACAAAGTTTTTGTACCTGTTTAATAAGATGAATTATAACCGTACCATAAAACATCAGTTTGGGAGAAGGGTGTCTGATAAAGCCAAATGTCCATTATATATGAATTTACCTAACATACATATACTTTATTTATATAATTTATGTCAAATTTGCATAGATTGCACAAAATAAATTAATTCTGATTTTCTTTTTTGCTAACTGTGATCCAAAAATCAAGGTTTTACTGTATTTCTAAAACCACTGGATAATATTAACTTTTAGTCATTCACCCACAAATTGTGTGGTCATTATGCAAACTATGTACAACAGGAATTACAACTATCCTAAATGTGCATCAAATAGTACAATACCTTGTAGGATCTTTAGTCTCTGAGAGAATCTCAAGGAGTTCATCATTGGACAAGAAGAAGAATCTAGGGAAGAACAGGCGTTTCTTTTCTAGATACTCATTTAGTCCCTTAAGAATTAATTCTAACAACTCATTGCATTTCTTCAGTCGTTCCAGCATCTTCTCTATCATCACTACTGTAAGAACATGTTTGTCCTGAGAAAGACAAACATATCATATCATATACCATTCATATCAAAGTGTATATAGTATTATTATTTCAATTTAAAAACTGAGCAATGCCTTAAGTATTTTCTCTAAAACAGCAGTTCTCAACCTATGGGTCGCGACCCCATTTGGGGTCGATCGACCATTTTTCGGGGGTCGCCAAAGAAGGCGATCCGCCATTTTCTCCCCTCAGGGGCCGGTGCCGCGCATGCGCAGAACGTTTGTGTGACGGGGGTCGCCGTCACACAAACGTTGAGAACCACTGCTCTAAAACATTAAAACTAAAATGAGTCAGCTCAATTTTCTCCCATTTTCCAGGATACTTTTATGACAGTCTGAAAAGTTTTCTAAGATCTTTTCTGGTAGTGCGTTTAACCCCTTTGTGAAACAGCTACTGTAGGTAAGCTCTGAGACTGGTTTGGCCAATTCTATTTTTCAATTTCTATGCTTTTTGTAAATATATTATCCTTCCTTCCTTCCTTCTTCCTTCCTTCCTTCCTTCCTCCCTCCTCTCCCTCCTTCCTTCCTTCCTTTCTTCCTTCCTTCCTTCCTTCCTTCCTTCCTTCCTTCCTTCCTTCCTTCCTTCCTTCCTTCTTCTGATTAAGCCATGAGAAGCTATGATGGGATATAAAGGTGCTCAACAATAAATACTGAAGAGTCAAAATCAAAATGTGAAGATTCACTGAACAATATCTGGAGATTCTGTATTCAGCATCATTTGACAGCCAAATATTGGGTGGAAACTTGCAGCCTAAGCACTTCCTCCACATTCCCAGACAAAGTCAGCTTCTTTTTGGCTTCTCATTTCCTTAATTGAAACTGCTCACTTGACATGTATTCATCCATCTGCAGGTTGCTGCAAGGGAATCCTTGTTCTTCATCTATTTCCCTGTAATTTTTCCCTCTATCTCTCATAGATACAGTCTCTGTGAGCAGATTCCACCATACTTTCCTAGCACTTCATTTTCTTTGCAACTTCAATTTTGTACAGTCAGGATTCTTTACCAGATTGCTTTTCTTTCCTCTTCCAGCTAGAGTGTATAAAGGTTGGCCTTGTTCCATTATTCATTTGGGGTTTGTTTGAGTTTCTTTCCATGCAAAATCATTTTTAAAATGATTTTATTTCCACTTAAAACATTCTTTTAAAAGTCTGCACAAAATGCCTTCACATTTTGTTATACTATATTTTCTACTATGGAATGTTTGCATGCCTTGTCTAATGTATGTCTCTTATTCATTTTGCCTAATGTATTGCACACATTTTTGAAAGCAGTTCTTCATTTTTACCCATACAAATTTGCATTATACAGTGTGAAGAAGAAAAATTTTGGCTTTTATGAATGTTTGGGTTTACACTAGCACTTGGGAAACACAAATCAGTATATGTGTCAAGATATGAACTGAGCAAATATCTGCTCTAGTCTAACCTCTAGTAGAAAAAAATGTTTTTCAAAGGAAGCCACATTAGCCCCCTCAGGTGGCAACGTTATGCATCTAGGTTGTGTTTAGCTCAAATACTGTTATACCCTGTCAAAATTTCACATGAAAACTTGGCATTCAGATAAATCATTTCTTCCTATTTAGCTACTTGGACTATTATACCACTGTTTATCATCTACGACCTTGATGAAATTTGAAGATTAAATGAGACTGCCATGAGTTATGGGTTTTTTTCAAAATAATAATACTGGGCCAAAGATAGAAAAATAATTGCTCTAGTGTGCCATGATTAGCTGTTCCATAAAGAAGCTACAAATTACCCTAGGCTCTCATCCTTAGGGCTTTTTTCTTAATATAATGTCTTCGATTTTTCTTCCCGTGCAGAAAAAGATCAGTCCTGTGGACCATTTGTTTATCAAAAATAGCAATGAAATCAAAGAGCAATTTCATCCTCATTGATTTGAGCCACACAGAAAAAAGAATTATTCAAATCTAAGGTAAAATACAGGGCAATCCAAAAATATGTTTACAGTTTCTAGCTGTTGCTGTAAAACACAACTGCAAGTCAAAAAAAATCAACACATGCCCTGAGATTTAATTTATGCTGAGAAAGGAAATATAGTACCTATAAAATCAAGTAATAATTTCTAAACATATACTGCCATCTTCTGGGAGGAAATACAAAGGTGTTTTTTGTTTACTTGGAAATGTCAGAAGTACTAACTGGTACAGACAACTACATGAATACTCAACAGAGCATTAGACTTCTATACTTCGCTGCCCACCACGAGCACACATATGAAAATAAGTCATTTGGGAGTACTCCAAAGAAAGCAGCACAGCATTGCGACTAATAACCTAATCCTTACATATCTAATTCAGTTCAGTGACTTAATCCAAGGCAGTCATATGTGGATTTAAAAAAGAAACAATTCTCTATTCGAAGATGTCAGGGTGACAGTTCTTTGGTTATACTTCATTTGGAGATTTAAAACCATTTATTATAGGTGTTTGTCTGTTTCTTATTCTCAGATTGCAGGAAATCATACCACCATTTTCAGCAGTTTTATTTGGAAGGGAAAGCAATGGCCACAAAACACGGATAGTCTTTGGTCAGATGGTGGTTAAGGTTTAAGGATAATGAAGTTTAACAAAGGACAGCAGGGGTAACAGTACAGTGAATTGTGAGTGGAGTGACATATCGATCTAGCTAAACAAGCAAAGAAATATCTGCACAAAGGCTGTTTATTTACTTCTTTATTGTATTTACTTCTTTCCCTCCCAAGACTGTTACTCTATATTCAGTGTTCTACTGCATAATCTCTAGGATGCAATATATTTAAATTGTAGTAAAATTTTCCAGATTCATGCACCTTTTATGCAAAGCTATGCCCCCTTTTATTTCCCCACTCTCTTTGGAAGGGAAGAAGGGATATCCATCTTTTTTCATGTGTACTGCCCTAATTTAATTTCACGAATAACAGAATGCATACAATAAAGACATGAACAAAAAAAATATCTTTCCCATGTTATAATTAATTGTTCCAAAGAGAATTTTTACTACCTGAATGGCATGTTTCATGATATCCTTCCAAGTTTTGTCCACAGTGGTGAATCGTCTACCTTCTTCAGGCATCTGAGCCATAATGTCCGGAGAAGTAAAAATTGGCTCCAAATAAAGCCAGGTAGCCTGAACTTTCAGCCACTCATCCAAGATTTCCTGTACCAACAAAAGTTTTGACTCCCAGTCTCTATAGAACAGAACAAAATGAATCGAGCATTAAATTGTAGAACATTTCTGGAGGTTTGGATGGAAAATAAGCCACTGGAATTCCAAAGTAGATATAACTCATGTGGTTCCCAGAGAAGAAAAGCAACCCTACTCTCTTGATGTAAAGGAAATGGCCTTGAAGGAGGGAAGGAAGAACTGCTGCCAAAGCAAGAGTCAGATAAAAGAAACTTGGGTCCGAGGCAAAGCTA